TGATAGGGGTGGTAGGAGGCCAGTTATTGGAAGTTACCAGGAAAAACACACTAAACACAAGTATATTTTTTATGATTTGATCAGCGTCCTCTTTCTGGTACAGATATGGAGAAACAAATGGAGATTTCCCTTATAAATGCAAATGTCTTTTACAAAAGGGTAACTTTTACTCTGTTTTCAGAATTTCTCCTGTGCAGTTTCTCAAAATAAACTTTATGTCAAAGATGCATATTTTAGGGTGGCATATTCTATTACCCTTTAGCTGTTATATGACTCTGCCACTGTTATAAGCAGATAAACATAGACTAGTCAAATATTTTCAAAAGAAGGGTAACAGGTGAAACAGAGACCTTAGCAGCTGCCTTGAATTATCCATCTAGATTAGCCCACACCTAGCCTACCACTAAAGTGTAAATGACTTCCGCTGTAATCAGTAGAATCCACAGATATCCCAAACCTGGATCAGCTAACTTTCAGCCAGTCCATGGTAACAAGAACTAAATAAATGCTTATTGATGTATACCCATGAGTTTTTTGGTTGTTTATTATACATTGTGGCAATAGATAATAGATGGAAATAATAAGAGAGTCAAGATTTAAACACCATCTCTCTTTGACTTATTGGCTATTTATACTTCAGAAAGTTTCTTAAAATTCAAGCTTCCTCATACATGTCGTGTGGATAATAATACTGAATTCAAGAGCATTAAATGAGAGGGTCATGTGATCATTGCCTAGTAGGATCATAACTTCTGTCAAATGCAGCAGTAGTAAAAGTGTACAGATATCTCATATTAAATATTCATATTTTTTCACAAAAGCTTCCTCATCAATTTTTTTCATTAAATTAATACATGCATTTTTGAATGCTTACTATGTGTCAGGCTCTCTGCCAGGCTCTGGGATTGAAGTGATAAGGAAAATAGACTCAATGCCTGTTTTCCTGTACTTTATAGTTTAGAAGAAGAAATCGACAATTGAGAAATAATAATATAAAGATGCATAAATAATTGCAACAAGTGCTATCCAGTGCTATATGATGATATGAAACTTAAAGCAGTGAGATCTAGTCTGGCCTGGAGGTTTAGAGAAGGCATTTCTAAGAAATGCTGCTAAAGATAAAAGAAAGTTTCATGCAAATTGTACTTATTTTTTCCTCAAATTTGAAACCCAGCATTTTGAAAGAAAGTTATGGAAAGCCTCCTAAACATGACAGTACTGGAAATATATATGATAATACTCTACCACATAATTAGAACAAACAAAAAAACAGAGTTGATCAACCATACTAAAGAAAAATATAAGCTATCCTTCTGTTACCTCTATACAAAACATTACCAAATATTAATTATTAATTATGCAAAGAGACGGTGAGAATGTACAGTCAAAATATAAAATGCACATATATATACACTTATGTATATATATGTGTGTGTGTGTGTGTGTGTGTGTGTGTGTTGGGGAGTTAATTAATAAAAATATATTATTATCAGGATTATGTGATTTGGGGTATTTTTTTAGTTTTTTTTTCAAATTGCTATTCATTATATTCTTTTCACCTAATTTTAAACAGCTTTCACAAAACTCCCTCTACTTTCTTTTTCTATTTTTAAATTATATTTTCAGTTATTTTGGTAACAAAATTCAGTGGTAAGTTTGAATGTAAAATGCCCAATTTTTAAATAAACAAGGTCACAAATTTGTATTCTACTATAGTACTTTGGCCTAAGTGGTTTTAAAACAAAATAATAATGTTGCTATGGATCACCATGTCCCAATCAATTCTAAACTATTGTGGATTTGTGACCACTCAAGATTAACTAATAAATACATTAATCTTACTTCGGTGACAAATTTGTGTAAACATTTTCTATAGCCACTCTGCGTACAGACTGCCCTGTTATAATCTGTCCTGCTCTTCAATTTTCTATATGGAAACACCAGTATGTTATGGTGTTTGCGATGGTTAACTTTCTGTGTCAACTTGGCTGAACCACGGGGTCCCACATCATTAGTCTGGGCATTCTGTGAGGGCTTTTGAAATTAACATTTAAATTTGTAGACTAATAAGTAGATTGCCCTTCATAATGTGGGTGCACCTCACGCAGTCAGTTGAAGGCCTGAGTAGAACAAAAAGACTGACCCTTCTCCAAGGAGCAGAATTCTTGCCCTGTGGACTTTGAACTGAGACATTAGTTTTTTTCTGTTCTTTTTAATTAATTAATTTTTTTTATCTTGCCTTTGAACTTGAACTGAAACATGAGCTCTTTCTGAGGCTCAAGCCTGCTGGCCCTTGAACTGAAACAGCAATATCAGCTTTTCTGGTTTTCAGGCCTTTGGACCAGAAAAGGAACTAAGCCAATGGTTTTTCTTGGATCTGCAGCTTACCATTTCACCCTGCAGGTACTGGGACTTAACAGCCTCCGTAGTCACAGATGCCAGGTCCTATAACAAATTTCTTTATATATATATATATATATATATATACATATATATATATATATATCCTATTGGTTCTGTTTCTCTGGAGAACCTTTCCTTAATACATGTAATAAATGTTTCAACTGAGAAAATAGTACAACTGATTTTTCTATTTATCTTCTTTCTTTTCAAGCAAAAGATTCCAGTGTATATATAAACCAAGGAAAACATCTATTTTTTTGATGGCAGTTCAAATGAAAGCCAAACTTAAAACACTTCTTTTGTATGCTATGTTTTTCCTTAAAAGGCTTTCTGAAAGAGGCATACACTAAAAGCTAATAGTGTGCTTCAGCTTTTATAGCGTATATTTAATAAAAAGTGTAGTAACTTGTAAGCCACCAACATCAGGTAATATTTTCCCATAGTCATTTATACATGTAGCTTATCAGAAGAATTACATCTAGTTTTGACTTGCTGAAATAGAAACTTTTTGACTTTATTAAGAGTTACTTTCATGATTTGTATAATTTGGGGTAATTAAAAAAAGGCAAATTCCAAAATGTAGCTCTCCAAATTGTGTGAAATATGAGAAATTGCTAATTTATGACCATGATAGGTTAAAAAAATGTAAAACTATAAAAGGAGCTGTAATAATACTCTTGTTAAAAAGATTCTGCAAAATACATATCAAATAAATAACAGAGTTTAGTTAGAAATTAAAATTTGAGCAGATGTTACTGAAAACATAGTTGAGCTATTTATCTTATCTTAATTTTTGCTAAAACAAAGCAGAATGCAAATAGTTGCTCATTTGTAGATTGCTTTTTATGTACTTCTTCTGTTCCTGCAGCCATAAGTTATTATTATTTTTGAACCATAAGTTAAATCAGAGAACACAACAGGCCACATTTCTGGACGTATATAAAAAAGGATTTTTCATCATGTGAAGATCAAACAGATATACCATATCACACTTGAAAAGCTTTTACAAGCCTTAAGCATTTTTCAGATTTCACCAGGACACCGCCACTGCCTAACTTATTTGGTGTAAACATTTCTGCTAAAGAAACTAATACCTTTCTGCACATCAGCTCTGCATTGTCTCTGGATTATTATACACATCCCAACCAGCAACATTTTGAATTACAATTCTTCCTTCTGAAAGCTCTCTTCAAAGTGCTCATTCTCACCCTGGTCCCCTAACTTTATATCTAAGTGTGATTTTCTATATTGAAAATTTCCAGATTTTCCTGAGGAAAACTCCAGTTTTATCTCTTCTTTATACACTCTATATATACTTTATGTAACCTTTAATCTGTTCCTTTGTACTGTGATTTACAGTTACCCCCATTTTTGTTTCTTAGGAGAGTAGAGTTTTCTTGGATTTGATTTTCAGTAAAACTCTCTCCTTCTCCTTGTACGCTTTGATGTACTTCTTGCCACTTTGTTGCATGATCCTTGATTTATTTTCATGTTATTCTACATGATCTGCTATTACTGTCATCACTTTCTCTTGGAGAATCTCTCTTCCTCAGAATCATTATCTTAGCTTAACACATTGACATCATCTTTGTTTCCTGCAGCTTCACCCTCGATAACCCCAACTGCCTGATTCTGCAGTTCCTTATTACAGGAACAGTGGCAGGGATAGTTCCCTAAATTTTTATTTTTGATTAAGTAGTTTTCCTGTATCCTTATGATGCTATTGCCAACCTCTTCTTTGTCCTTTTCTTGTTGATATTGACTTGCCCATTTTGTTCGCCTGCTTCTCCGTAGTACAGACTGGTTGTACCATATTAAACTTCTGCCATGCCTGACTTAAAGTGTTTAACCAACCACGTGTGTGGGGATCTATTGTGATATCCCCTTCTTTACTCAGCCTCTGATCATAGCCCCATAAGAATATTTCTCAAGTATTGTCATACCTATTCAGATTTCTTATCTTCAAATAAGACCAGTAGATTGTGAGACTCTGATTCTTTAAAACATACTAAATCCTGGATAGTTTAATATCCTAAGTTATTATTGGAATCCACCTAAATCATTCTCTTCAATGAGTGAGAGCTGTACAATGGAGATAGGAATTGCTAAAGGCCATGAAGCCTCCTGAGAAAGCTTCATAAAGCTTCTAGGAATGTCAGATTTGAAACAGGAGACTTCTTTTTTTTTCCCAACTCTGGGCCATTTTTCTTCTTTGGCAATTATTTAATTCCTTTCTTGAAATAGTACACAGTATTTGTTTAACCATAAATTGTCGATGTTTTTCAAGCATCTGAGGAAACTTCATGGCAACCATATGAGACAGGAGTAGAATTCTGGCCTTCAAGCTGTTTGTGTAGCTAAATGGAGCTTCATTAAGGAAATTAACCATCTTTTATTTGCTTTGGTACTGGGATATTATCAGTTGGTCTGTTTGTGGATTGTTGTTATACTGAGACTCAAATTCAGAACCTTTATTATACTGAAGCTCAAATTCAGCTAGCATCGTAGTAAGACATTAGTTTTCTATATTTTAATTTTCTTTTTTTTTTAAAGATTTTATTTATTTATTTGAGAGAGAATGAGAGATAGCACGAGAGGGAAGAGGGTCAGAGGGAGAAGCAGACTCCCCGCTGAGCAGGGAGCCCAATGTGGGACTCGATCCTGGGACTCCAGGATCACAACCCGAGCCGAAGGCAGTCGCCTAACCAACTGAGGCACCCAGGCGCCCTATATTTTAATTTTCATAAATAATGTATAAATCTATATGATGTGTATTAGGATCTGGTCTCCTAACGAATCAATACAACCAAGAACACAAAAACTGAAAAGCAACCATAAATTTCAACCTATACTGAGTAAAACCATTGACTTTTTCTGATTGACTCTCCAAACTATTAAAGCATTTCCAAAGTGTATGGCTTAAGGCACTTTTATATTGTCAAATTCCTGCTATGTTTTCTAAGACTCTTCAACAGTTAACATAATGTGAGCTTTTGTTGGCCTCATGGATACCACATTATCACATCCTTTTCTTGGCTTATAGTTAAGTAGCAGCAAATAATAATGTTTTAAAATTGCTACTACAGCTGTTTTGGGCTCAAAACTAATGTTTATTTTTTTAAGCTTAATATTTCATAAGGTTGTACCCTTGATATCTGTGGTCTGTGCAATTTCTGTGTAGAAGAAATGAAGTCAATAACTCTCTGTAAGCAAAATTGTTTTATTTTTATTTACTTATTTTTTTCCTGTAAAAATAGTTGGTACAGAGATTTTTCATATCCTTTCCTGGTATTCTTTCACTGGATTTCCTGTCATTCTGGTCAGGGGGCCTGATGGTGGCATGTGACCATGTTCACAGTGAGCCTCATGAAAGAGTAAAGGAATTATCTTTTTGACATTATATTGGAACTGCTTCCCCAACATGATATCCTTTTCTTCCTCATCTTTATCTCTCTTCCTACTATTGCTATTACCATGATCCTGATCACTGTTCCTGCTCCTGGTGTGCAGGCCCCATGGGACATAGCTCTGACTATGTTGCCACTGCTGGTACCAACTTTAGCTTACCCATTTCTAACATTCAGTGCAGAGCCTTACTGTAAACTGACTGTTTATGTCACAGCGGTGTTTCTCAAATGTCTGACACAAACATCTTTATCCCCAGGATGCTTCCCCAGTATGCGGATTCCTAGAACCCAAGACCAACTGAATCAGAATCACTTATAATTGCATCTAGAATTTACAAGTTTAGTAAGATTTTTATAAAGAAAATAGTTTAAGGAATATTGTACTCATGAAAGTGAAGGAATACCAAGTATTATCTCCACTTCAGCCTTCTTTGGAAACAAACAATAATGGCTTTGTTCCCTTTCAATCTTCCCAAAATGAGAAAATCAATTTAAAGTTGTTATTCAGGGGCACCTGCATGGCTCAGTCAGTTAAGCATCTGCCTTCGGCTCAGGTTATGATCCCAGGGTCCTGGGATTAAGCCCCACATCAGGTTTCCCTGCTCAGAGGGGAGCCTGCTTCTCCCTCTCCCTCTGCCTGCTCCCCCTTCTTGTGCTCTCTCTGTCAAATAAATAAATAAATAAATAAATAAATAAATAAATAAATAAAATCTTAAAAAAAAGGTAAGCTTGTAAAGCTTTTTGACTTAATCTCTTTGGATGCACAGTCTATGTCTCGCTCATCCATTTGTATGTGTGTTGATATAGTTTTCCCATTCTGATTAAGGAATTAAGTCCAAAACACTAGAGTAGATATTAGAAGAGACCTTCATTGGAGACCAGGGAAGAGTTCAGGGAGAAGGTGAGTTCATGGGCTATTCAGTCAAAGTGCTAGAAATCAGAGTGGTAGCCAAAGACCCTTAATAATTCTGTAAAGGCAAAAGTGCTAATTCAACACATAAATGAGTGGACAGGAACTAGAAGTAGTCAAAGTGGTCTTGCTAAGTTTTTGCCTTTAAAGAGCAATGTAAGGTGGTTAAGGTACCCAAGTAAAGGGGAAGGCGAACTTCAAGCATGGAATAGAAAAGTATCGCATATTTCTCTGTATTTATGGATCTGATTCTGTTTTTTGTCTGTTTATTCATTTGTTTTTGTTTGTTTGTGTGTTTGTTTGTTTTTTTTTTTGGATTCCACAAATGGTTGCCAGAGGGAAGGGGTTTTGGGGTGATGGGCAAAATAGATGAATGGGAGTGGGAGATACAGGCTTTCAGTTATGGAATGAATAAGGAATAGGGGTAAAAGGCACAGCACAAGGAATATAATCAATGACATTGTAATAGGGTTGCATGGTGACAGACGGTAATTACACTTGTGGTGAGCATAGCATAGTGTATAAACTTGAATCACTGTGTTGTACACCTGAAACTAATGTAACATTGTGTCAACTATACTCAAATTAAAAAAATGAAGTACCACAATTGTTTTCTAAGTAGTTTAGTTATTCACTCATTCAACTAATATTTATCAAGTCCCTATTATATTCCAGACACAATTCTAGGCACTAGATAGAGTACTGAATGAAATGAAAATGATACTTATCTCTATGAACTTGAGAGCCCAAGGAGTGAGATGATTAAACAAATATTCTAATATTTCTAGGCTGAGATAAATGGCATGAAGGAAAATATTAGCTAGACTCTGTTAGCAAAATTGATTATAATTGATCAATTGATACTGAACTGATATCTAAAGAGGGAGCCAGAGTTACCCATGTATAAGAAAAGAGAAAGTGGGAAGGTTTGGTGGGAGCCATAATTTGTTAAATAAAAGGAACTGAAAAAAATCTCAAATGTGATAGATCATAATGAACTACATTATTCAGAACCATAAAAATACTAATTAGCATTTTAAAGTGTTTATATCAACTTTACTTGAAAATAAGAATTATAATTCTATAAAGTTCCCATTTGGACAAAAAATATAATCACATAAGTAATGAGAGATAATTCAAAATTATATCAGAAGAGCAATAAGAGTCTTTGGTTTCTTCTTAGCACTGAATAATATCCCATTGTTTGAATGTACCACAGTTTATTCCTTTACCTGCTGAAGGACATCTTGGTTGCTTCTAAGTTTTGGAAAAAATGCATTAAGTTGCCATAAACATCTGTGGCCAGGTTTTTGTGTGGACCTAAGTTTTCAACTCCTTTGGGTAAATACCAAGGAGTGCAATTGCTGATTATATTTAGTTTTGTAACAAACTGCCAAACTGTCTTTGGAAGTGTCTACATCATTTTGTGTCCCCGCCAGCGATGAATGAGCATTCTTGTTTCTCCAGCAGTTTGCATTTTGGCCATTCTTTCATTGCTTTAATTTGCATTTCCCTGATTACACATGATGTGGAGTCTTTTCAAACGTTTATTGCAGTATTTTTTTTTACTTCAGAAAATATTTTTTTAGCTCCAGAAGATTAATTTGTGTATTTTTAGATCTCTTATTTCTCTCATTATCAAGTTGATGTTTTCTTCCACCTTCCTGAACATATGTAGTGTCCTTTTAATAGCTCTTTTAATGTCTTTGGCCTCTACCTTTAAAATCTTTATCTTTCCAAAATCTGTTTCTGTTGACTGATTGATTTCCTTATTATGGGTTGAATATTCTTACTACTTTGCTTGTGTGCTATTTTTTTTTTTTATTGGAAGCCAGATATAATGCATTCTACATTATTGAATGCTGAATACTTTGTATTTTTTTAAATATTATTGGACTCTTCTGGAATTCAGCTATGTTACTGGAAAAGGCTTTGATCCTTAAGAAGCTTCTAAGCTTTGTTTGCTGATCAGATAAAATCTGTGGCTACTCCTGAGGCAATACCCTTCTGAGGACTTCACTTGCATCTTGTGTTAGAGGTATTTCCACTCTGACTACTATGTACCTAATGTATTTGCAGCTCTCCATGAGCTCTGTAGACTTTTCTACCTGATCCATTTTAGGGGTTCTTTCCCTTACTTTACTGTTTCTTTTCATGCTGTTCATGTTTCAATGCTGTTCAGTATTCAGTCAAAGACTTGAGGAACTCTTGTGGATTTCCAGGGCACTCAGTGCAGTTTTCTTCTCTCTGGTGCTCCATGCCATCTCTGGACATCTGGATTTACATGAGTTCTGAATCTTGTGTTCTCAACTTGGCAGAACCTCTGGTCTTTTCTAGTGTTCCTACTCCCTGCACCATAACCTGGAAATTCCAAGCAGTTAGTTTAGCCAATTATATGGCTCATCTCATTTGTTTCCCTTCTCTTAGGATTTAATGTCCTGTATTACCTCTTGTCCAGAACCTGAAAACTGTAGTTTCTTATCCTTTGTCTATTTTGTAAGTTATTTAAGGTGAAATGATAATTATTTTCCAGCTTATTCCATTGTAGAGAGAGGTAGAATTCTTAATATTGTTTGAAAATTAATTTGTTAAAATTTCTATTTCTTCAGCCAAATATACTTTTCAAGGAAGAAAACATTTCACAGTTATTTTCTACTCTGAAAACTCTAAACTCAGGGATTTTTATAATGGTTGACTTCATATGATATCAGTTTATATTCATCAGTTAAACAGCACGGGTTTTATTAGCAGATTCAACCAAATATCCCTCCAGGTAGAAATGATAATAAACAAATAGCAGCTATGTACAGCCTGAATGAATTTTACATGTTGAACCAAAGAAGCTAGATGAAAAAAATATATATATGTTGTGTGAGTCTATGTGTGTGAATATCACACAAAAAACAGGCAAAACTAATTTATGGTGTATTAGAAGTTAGAATCACAGTTTCTTTAGGAGACAAAGGAATGTGTAGTGATTGAGTAGAGCAAAATGGGTCCTTCTTGGGTGTTGGTAATATTGCATTTCTTAGTATGTCTTTTTTTTTTCTTTTTAAGATTTTATTTATTTGACAGAGACTGAGCAAGCAGAGGGAGAGAGAGGGAGAAGCAGGCTCCCTGCTGAGCAAAGAGCCCGATGTGGGACTTGATCCCAGGACCTTGGGATCATGACCTGAGCCAAAGGCAGATGCTTAATGACTGAGTCACCCAGGCGTCCTTTTTTAGTACGTCTTGCAAATATTTTTTCCAGTCATTTTTAACTTATATTTTAATCATATGAAAGATTTTAAT